ACCGCAAAACAATGATCAGGATGATCACCGCTTCGATGAGTGAGCTATAGACACCAGTCATCGAAGTGATGGCACCCTTTACCGCGACATCAGCAAAACATGTCTGATCACATAGCCGACAACCGACAACAATCTCAAGTAGTATGGCACCACTAATAGTACACAATACTGATTGTATGTTCACTTTCATGCAAACATTGACATTGCCATTAAAACAAGTCACAGGAGAACAAACGACGCCTTCTAAACACCCTTGTTCACAGAAAACATACCATTCTCCACACCGATACCACAACACTCACCATTTACACCAAACGAATTGATCACATCTAATCTGCCACTCCCGACAACCCAACCACTAATTTTCCCATACCAGCAACAAAGTTTTATGGCCCAACACCAACACCCTCTCAACTTACAACAAAATGTTGGTGTACCATACCTCACTGCTTAACAGTTGACCCCCCCCCCCCAAAACATCTTTCTATTTCCAAACCAAGATATCTTGTCGAGGTGGGTAACGTGTTTGTTTGCTAAGGAGCTCTTAGATTCTCTACTAGAAAAATAGCCTTTTACGACGTCCAATGCGTGTCGTAAAACGCTCAGACGACGCGCAAATGCGTGTCAAGAAAGGCCCGTCATAACGAGAGACGACACGCTTTTGTGCATCGTCTATAGATGACGCGCATTTACAATAGGCATTTACGACGCTCATTTATGACACGCAATACGTATCAAGGAAGGCCCTGTCATAAAGGAATACGACATGCGTTTGTGTGTCGTAACCTTACGACGCGCATTTTATGACACACATTGCGTATCATTAAAGCCCCTGTCATAAAAGAAGATGACACGCATTTACGTGTCATAAACTTTAGTAACCATTTACGATATGCATTTACGACGCGTCTTTACGATACTCTTTTATGCATAATACAAAAAATATGTAAACAAATATATACCAAAACAATCAATTTCATCCAATAACATCATGTCAAAAAATTGTAATACATTGATATTAAGGGGATCTAATTGTACATTGTTATTAAGAGGTTTTCCCTAACTATATAACCTAATACTACATTTCTTTTAAGGGACACCTTCTGCAATGTAATGTTGTACAAGCTAAAAGATATACACAATGATGAAAAACATCAAATTCCAACTAAGTAGAGTTGCGTCTTGCCTTTGATACTTCTTTAAGACTCATATTGAACCCCTGCTCCGATAATTCTTGTGATCTGATCAAATAAAAGTCAAAAAATTAATATGCTAATTATTAGAAGAATCAAACATGGAATGTTAGTTGTAAAAGATGAAATTACCCTTTTCTCCATCCAAAGAATGTGGTATTTGGAATAAATACACTACAATATGAATTACTTGATATCAAGAATGACAATCAAAATGACAAGAACACCCCCATACAAATGGTAAATATTACGTGTAAAGCTATCAACAATGAAAATCCTTGATCCTATGAACTAGAGAGTATATCATCATAATTCCATCTAACACCACCCATGAGAACCCGTAAAGCTAATCAACCAACGTATCATGTCATGTAATGTATTTTTTGTTAGTATACTTTCACGTAGGAAAAAAGTGAAATAAATAAAAATAAGAACGTTCTCATTTATTCAAAATGGATACTATACACATCTATGGGACCCATTTTTAGAATTACCATCCCATGAAATCATTCATGCTATTTTAACTTAAATAATTTATTTTTAGTAAAAAAAATAAATTTTTATAAGTTTATTGTTTTGATTATAGAATACATACCCATTTATCACTGACTTCTTTTCTTTGTTTTCACATTGTAGCATTGTGAAAGAGCCTTCGATCATCCACACGTTTAACAGCTACAACTACAGCTCTTAAAGCTTTTCATAAAAACAAATAAAAAAATCAAATTAATATAACATAAATGGAGTTATGATTATAGTAAGAAATAAAAACAAAAAAGTATGTTACCATGATTAGGAAATAGAGGTGCAGAATTCAAAAAACCTCTTATTTACATAAACAAATCAATAGAAGTAATCATAAAATCTGTACAAGGGTTATAAAGAATGAATTTTCAATTGTGTTACCTTTTTAGCAAGACTACATGCATGATCTAGTGAGTTCAAAACGTTGAGAAGCTTCTCCAGCAACACGCAATCTAGCATCATTAACTTGTTGGAAAAAGTAAAACCATGATTAAGTTATAAAATTTCGTGTTTAAATAATATATACATTTTTAATACCTGGTGAGCTTTGGGTTGTTTGTGAACATCTTCATAAGGATCATTCTTCATATCATTCAAAGGATCACTAATAACCTCCACATGAGGCTGTCGGATTGACTTAGGGATGTCAACGGGGGCAAACGGGGCGGGGAGTGCATCTCCCGCCCCCGCCCCCGAAATTTCCCTGTTCCCCCGCCCCCGCCCTCGCCCCCGGAATGTTCAATGTTCCTACCCCCGCCCCCGCCCCCGTTCCCCCACCCCCGATTGATTTTGGGCTACTTTTTTTTGGGCTAAAAGAAGTTGTTATTTAGGCTAAAATAAATTATTTTTTAGGTAACAAATAATTATTTATAGCAGAATTTTATATGTTAAAAATAAAAAAGTTATGGCATTTTAAAAAATTATAGTAACAACTTAAACACAGGTTTTTTGATGAATTTTGGAAGCTTAAAATCATGTTATTTTTTATTATATTTATATAATTAATATATGTAAATATATGTGTAATTTATTAATGGGGTTCCCATGGGGATTTCGGGACGGGATTGCCTACCCCCGCCCCCGCCCCCGAAATTAAAACGGGGGTTAACCTTGCCCCCGCCCCCGTCCCCGCCCCCGATTTTTTTTTAAAAATAATCCCCCAAACTGGACGGGACCCCCACGGGACTTTTTGACATCCCTAGATTGACTTTTGTGCTGCTACACTGGCAACAATTAAAGGTCTACGCCTTTTTAATTGCCCCTCAATCTAATCAAATTCCTTGTGCTGAAAGTGAAATTTATGTAAAACATTTATATATTTCTAGAATGTAACACATGAATTTATTTTTAAGAAGTTAAGTAATGATTACAAAATACAAACTCGCAAGCGATGCTTTATGAGAAGTTTGTGAATTGATGGGATGAAAATGGTAAAGTCCCCCTAAGTGCATGTGCCAAACAACAGAGTTCCTCAAAAACATCCTTTCTTAGCTCATCGTTTTTTCTACATGCATGAAAAATGTTTTAAAAGAAAATAAAAGTGAACAGGAATTCATGTTTAGGAGAATAACAAACTAAGAACATACCCATCCAATACAAGCTTCAATTCAAATGATGTACAAGTGTTGAAATGTATCCTGTATCCTAATGAAAAGAAATTGATGGTGTTTAGTCAATAATTTATGAAAAATATAATTATAACAACCCAAAAAGATAAAATAAATCATTAACCTGAACACGAGGGATTAAATAGACATATAAGGGCAGGAAGAAATAGATGCATATGATCATCCAATGTTGTTCAACTAGGTGCAGGATCTGATCAGAAAGCCAAATTACATTATTGCCCTTTGACACCTGTGCATTGTACAAGAGACAGATGGTAAAAGTACACTTTACCGGGGGTCTATGAACAGGACGATTGGTTGCTAGGAGACTGAATGATGACCATAATTCTGATATTAAAGAAAGCAGCTCGGGTAGATACTTGCGGATGTGCTGGAATAGCAACCAAGAATGGTTAATGATGACCATTGATTATGTATTTAGAATCTTTTTTTGATCTGTAATTGTCTTCATCTTTGTGTTGGGGTTTCTTTTTGCTGAGAAAGTACCACACATTTACTTATATTCCCAACACCATTCCATCCAGATGGAATTGTCCATTATGAAACCTTAATTAGAGGTTATGTGTTCGAATCTAGTGGAAAATGGAAACTTTTTGATTGGTTGTCCCCTTTTCATATCCATGCCTTCAATAATTCAACTTTGACTGATGCCTGCCTTTTAAAAAGATTTGGAGTATCAATAGGATGAAGCCAAGTAAGTGATTGAGTAACAGATTGTTGCAGACATAAGCTTAATCCATCCCTGTTATAAAACACGGTGTGTGGCTAATAATGGACAACATGTATTAAGTAATTTAAATCGTGAAGTCAAATATAGATCTAGAGTCTAAACTGTAAATTTAAAATGAGAATCCATAAATGGTGTAACGTGTAAGTAAGTATATTTATTGTTGTCCCATCGGATGTCATGTGAAGTAGAATCGAAAGTCTGTAGTAAGGTCAATCTATATTAAAAGCTTTAACATACACTATTTGCTATGAGAGGAAAAAGAGGAGACATTACCATTAGTTAGATTTTTGAGTGAGAAGGTGACAAAATTATTTAAAGAATACAAAATGTGACTCACCTTGTTTTCGAGCTCAAGAAGTGATAGTACAGCACTAAAAACATTAGAATTCTGAGTGGTAATATCTATACACACACGAGATGAAAGATAGGCATCATTTCGAGAGGAAAACAACATATTTCCCCCCTTGTCCCACATAGTCCAGTGGGGAAAACATGTTGGGAGTAGGGGTAGTGTCGTCAATTGCTTCTAGAACTTGGATGTTCCTCCTTGAGCCAGTTGATTTTTGCTTTGAGAGACTAAAAGTACCCCTAAAGCTAAATTTTACAGATCTGGTACGTTTTGTAACTGGTAACGGATTTGCATCTGCACTCTCTGAAGGGTTGATTTCTACCACTTGATATGTAAGGGGGATAGAACAGTTATTTCTTATCCAATATGGGTAGAAAATCATATGATGTGAAAAAGACGAGTCCATCAGATGAAAGCCTGTACAATCAATAGCTTATCAACATGTTAAAGATTAACCGTGCTAATTTCTCACATTTAATCAACAATTGGATTATAGGAGGGACACTTATGGCTCTTTCATCTTTGAATCCAATTAAGCCTCATCAAAATAAGATCCTTCATGATCCATAGTCGCCATGACTGCAAAAATAACAACAATAATCACTCTTAAGCAAAAGAAACAATGGGAAACATATGTGAGTCTGATTATCATAAGCAAAATACAGTGAGAATACAGGGTTCTTGATTCCTAGGGTTATAAGAACTCATAGAACAAAAAAACCCTATTTCCCCAAACTTATTTAATTATAAACCATGTGATGGATGCAGGTATACAACCTTGCTTGTTGTTTCACTTTTCTGTCGTGTAGCAACATTCTCCTTCTTTGGACTTCTCTTCTATTATACGTATAACATCAGGAACACAATGAAAGATGAGAAGCTTGGTGAGAAAATGACTCCGACTGATAAGAAGATTGAGGATGCGATTGATGAGGCGATTGTGTGGTTAGATACGAACCAATTGGCTGAGGGGGATGGGATTATGTATAAGATGAAGGAGCTTTTTCCCATTTTGAAACTTTTAGGTTAGAGAGAGATAAAGGGAGATATATATAGAGAGGAGGAAGAGAGAGAGAGAGAGAGAGAGAGAAAGGAGATTGAATGAAGAACTGTTAGAGGCACTGGAGTTGGGTAAAGTCGGAGGCCCTAAGGCTTCTTGTTGCTAATTCAAAGATCAACATCGATGGCAAAAGGTGGAGGCATCAGTAGAGGGAACAAGGTAAAAAGTGAGTAGATCGAACCATTTAGTGTTAGGGTCGATTTGGAAGAAATCTTAAACCCTTAACCTTAAACATGATGTGAAGCAATTAATCCATAATCTTCTCTGTCTCCATCAATTCCCTGGGCTTACATAATCGGACGGTGGTGGTAAATGAAGCGTTCTTCAAGAAGGAAGGCGCATCATTGCAGTTTAAGGCTAGAAGAGGCAACGAAGATTGGAGGCAGTGGATATGGCTGTTGGGTGGAGACAACGGAGAAGAAGGTGGGGGTTTAAAAAATTGGGGATTTCATTTTCCCTCGGAAATGCACATGTTTCTTACAAAAATATATATAAAACGATATTCACAGAGGATGCACAAGGCCCTCCGTGTTTTTAATATTTTTTACATGAGACACTAATTTAAGGGCATGCAATAATGCGTGACATAAATCCTTAAATTTTTTGAAGAGATGACACTTTTTTAATGCTACTCTCTTTTGCGTAACATAAATCAATGAGTGTCATGGTTTGCGCGTCGTAAAAGGGTCTTTTTCTTGTAGTGATTACAAAATTCCAAACACAACGAAGTTGCCATACCTTAAGACCTACAACGAAACCATAGATCCAGACAGCCATAACGACACGTACAAATACCTCATTAAAGTTGGATGAGCGATCCTGGTGTATGTATTTCCCGACAACCCTGGATGGAAATGTGGGAACATGGTTCAAAACGCTTTGCTCGGGGAGCATCTACAATTTTGTCTAGCTCAAGTACCTTTTCCTGAAAAATTTCATGCAACTACGTAAGTACAAAGGAAATTAGTACTTAATCATCGACTGCAAGAAAAAGGAAGGATAATCGACTGCAAGAAAAAGGAAGGATAAACGATATGCGAATAATTCAGCAGGTTAACTAATGCTACATTAGATGTCCCAGGGCACGATGAAGGTCTAATAGCAGGAGCCTTCACGTGGGGCCTTCTTCCTGGACCACTGTCTCAGAAGCTAATGGAGTAGAAACCCCAAACACGCATTGAACTAAAATAAAATGTGGAACGCTACTTAAGGAAAGAAGAAGTAGAGGCAACCAAATAAGCGTACTTGAATGCCATGACCACCTCAGCCATAAAGCATCAGAGTCAGCCACAATGCCACAAAGAAAATCCTGGTACCATCAGACACTTTGCGCACAGGAAACACCCACTAGGACGTTTCAAACCATTCCAAAGATACGACAAAAGAGGTAGGCGAGTACCATAAAAGCAAGACAAAAAGATAAAAGGACGGTATTGGAAGTACCATAAAAGCAAGACAAATGACCCCAAGAGCATCTATGCAAACTTTGACGTCGAGAATGCTAAAGACTCTGCGAAGATATATGATTGACCCGAAGAGATCCTGATGATCAGATGCAAGGGAGGAAGGCAAGGAGAATGCAGTGGGTTCGACAACCTCACAAAATCTATGCAAGGCCTAACATTCTCGGCTAAAGACCCACGACCCACAGGCTAGCAAGGCAATGAACCGCTCATCATCAAAGGATCCATCGAGGACATAACTATACAATGAGTGTATGTAGACATTGGAAGTTCAGTAGACATTTTCTATGAGCATTGTTTTCGCCTCCTTCCGGATAAGTGGAGAGGGGGCCTCAAACCTGCGATAGAACAATTGACGGGTTTTGCAAGGCACATCCTATGGTCTCTAGGCACGATCCACCTCCCATTCACATTGGTCAGTTATGACAAGACAAAGAGGGAGACAACCCTCATAGATTTTGTTGTAATCAGGAATCCAGCAGAACACAACATCATCTTCGAACAAACAAAAATAATCAAATTTGTGGTAATGTCATCGGCAATGCACAGAGTGGTAAAATCCAACACAACAGAAGGACCGAGATGATCCTGGCCATACTACCAAAAGAACTGCTGTGCTACAAGATCATACAGCTGAAGAGAACACATAAGAAACTAAGAGGCTATGGGTAGAGTCGACCGATGGAAAAGAGATCATCAACATAGTGCATCATGATCAGCTAGTTAGCATAGTGGTCAACCATCCCTTATCGATAAGGCTGGCGTTAATTGACCATCTAAAGAGATAAAAGCACATCTTCACCTGGAACCCCATCAATATGGTGGGGGTAGATAGGGAAGTCATTAAACACAACATCTTGATAAAAATAGGGACAAAGGAAGTAAAGCAGAAAAAACATGTCCAAGGAGGGGATAGGAATAGGGAGATCAACGTCCAAGCTGACCAAGGCGAGAATACTTCGAGAAGCAATGTTCCTAACCAAGATCGCAAATCCAGTCATGGTCTAATAGTACGACGGTACATGGCATATGTGCATTGACTATTTCGATTTAAAAAAACCTTGCCCCAAGGATTGTTACCCTTACCAAAAATTGATCAGAAGGTGGAGTCCCTACCCATATTCATATTGAAATACATCTTAGATGCGTAAAAAGGGTACCATCAAATCCTGATAAGTAATAAGGACGAAGAAAAGACTACCTTCCATACATATGATGGTGTGTTTTGCTACACAAAAATTCCATTTGGTCTAAAGAACATGGAAGCAAACTATTGACGCCTCGTCAACTCCATCATTGCTACACAAATTGGAAGAAACATCGAATTTTACGTCGACGATACACTTATATAGAGTCCAGACGAAAGAAGGCCATTGGAAGATGTAAAAGAGACACTCAGAACATTGGAAAGGGTCAAGATGAAGTTGAACCTGGGAAAATGCACCTTTGGCATGGAAAAAGGGAAATTCCTGGGGTACTAATGGACGTGCCATCCTCATGTACCTTGAGAGATGCTCAAGTGTTGATGGGTAAATTGACCGCTTTAAGTCATTTCATATCTAAATCGTCAAAAAGCCATGCTACTCTTCCACACCCTCAAAGGATGCATCGAGAAAAACAACTTCCAGTATATTTATCAGCGTGAAATGAACACTTTAACAAATAAGCAGGCATTGCATAAACTACCCATACTGACCAATCCCATTCCAAGTGAGGCACTACAAGTATATTTGTCAGCGTGAAATGAACCCTCTCTGCGGTGTTGCTAGTGGAAATGGAAGGAATGAAAATACTAGTCTACTTTGTTAGTCACGCTCTACAGGGTCCAAAAGCCAACTACCCCATCTTAGAAAGGTTGGTGCTTACCTTTATTTATGTGGCACGATGCCTAAGGCGTTACTTCCAAGTGCACCAGATAGAAGTATTGTCAAGTTGTCCAATCAAACTGGTGCTAATCAAGCCAGGAACATCCATGCGCCTAACAAAATGGGTGATCAAGTTAGGAGAACACGATATTAGTTATCGCTCACGTAGCAACATCAAAGGACAAGAACTAGTATATTTTATTCTTGAAATACCGAGAGAGGTAAAAGCAACCATCCACGTAAAAGAATTGCCAGACACACATCGGCAAGGAGGCAACCAAAGGTAGATTTTATGTATTGATGGGATGTCCAGTAAGGAAGGATCAAGGGTAGGTCTAATCCTGACAATCCCAGATGGGGAAGTTATTACTTATGCACTCCGCTTAGAATTTCATACCTCCAAGAACGAGGCCGAACATGAGGTCCTACTGCCCGACTTAAGATTAGCAAAGCAAATAGGAGAGGATGCAATGATAGCCCTAATAGGCTCAAGATTAGTGGCCAATAAAGTAAACGAAGAATTCAAAGCAATGCATATATATATATATATATATATATATATATATATATATATATATATATATATATATATATATATATATATATATATATATATATGGAAAAGTACGTGAAAGTTTTCGAGAATCTTGTCAAATCGCATAAAAGTTTCACCACTAAGCAAATCCCAAGAGGGGAGAATAGGATGGTAGATACCCTTAGCAAACTTGTTCAAGAAAGTTTTGGTGGAAGTACTCAAGGAAAGAAGCATAAAACAAGCACCAGATACACACCTTGACCCCATCACAATATTGTTGGATGACACCAAACGTCGAATATCTGCAACATGGTATTCTACCTAACATCCACGAAGAACCTAGAAAATTGATGATCAAAGCACCATAACATACGATCATAGAAGGGGTGCTATATCAAAAAGGGTTCATGTCACTATGGTTAAAGTGCATAGATGAAGCCATCCGCAAGGATGCACTTCGAGAGATGCACGCCAGGATAAGTGGCATGCACGAAGGACTGAGGGCCCTCATGGGGAAAATAATCTGGATGGGCATTTACTGGCCAAGATTCCACCAAGACGCAAAGAAAATAGCATGAACATGTGTAGAGTGCCTAAGTTGCTCCCTAGTTCCAGGTGTTCCCCCAGCACCGCTGACAAGCATCACTGTACCGCTAGCATGAATATCAGGAAGAAAAATGTTCAAGTTCTTATGGAAGAACATCATGACAAGAGTACTGATCAATGACAACGGGTTACAGTTTGTAGAGTCCCCATTCCAAAGCTGGTGTGCCAAAAATGGGATAGGTCTAGAATTCACATTAGTGGCACACGTCTAGGCTACTGGAAAAACCAAAGTGTCTAACAGAATGTTCGTGAATGGAATCAAGAAACATCTGGGGAAGCCCAAGGGACGTTAGGTGGAGGAACTCCCAAGAGTTCTCTAGTTGTATAGAACCACAACACAAACAAGCACAAAAGAAACAACTTTCGGCTTAACTTATGACACGAAAGCAATGTTGCTAGTAGAGCTAACAATTGGTTTGCTGTGCATGTTACACTTCCAAGAAAACGGTAATGACAAAGACCTGGGGTTAAACTTAGAACTCATCAAAGAAAGGTGTGAAC